CAGGCTGACCTCAGAGGCGGCGCCCAACGTGTCGCAGTCGGGCTGGGCGCGGCCGTCGGGGCGCGGCCGCAGGGAGTCTCCGTTGGGCATTCGATCGCCGCTCACACCTGTCACACTGATCTCGGGGATGGCCACACCCCCCAGCGCAGCATCACTGTCTACACTCACCTCCTGGGACTCTGGTGGGGGGGAGCATGGGGGGGTAGTGGGACGATACATATACACACACCCACACACACACACAAACACAAACACGGACAGACAGACACATAGCATGCACACGTACATGAAAAACAAAACAAAAAGACGGTCATGTGCACAGGCACACACGACCACAGCAAGACAAGACACACAGGTAAGGTAATCAATGTAACAGAAAAATAAAAAGACAAAAATCATAGTGATCAGAACATAACACATGGTCAAAGTACATGCTTTATGGAGATGAATATGAACAAAGTATTTGAATGGAATCGCATTTCATACTGGGTCACCACACAACCCTAAACATTAATTAATATTTAATAGCATTTTCCTCTATCATCTGCTCACAACAAAAGCTTTACGCATAAACAAGTAGCTGGCGCCAATGAGCAGGATTCATGAGATGAAAAAGGGGAGTTAGGCTCAAGACGAAACCTACTCATTAAACTAGCTGAAGGCTGTAATTTACCTGCCTTATCTGTAGTCTGGGAAAAGAGAGCAGCTCTCTCTTGATTCTAAACCACACACACACACAGACTCCTCAGTGACTAATAAAAAATGAATTTGTTCTTCGGTCATTGGAATACTATCAAGGTTTCTTTGGCGCAGAGTTGAAACTACACAACACGCAACATATTCGAAACAAAAAAAGTGTACACACTGCAACTCATCTGGGCTATACTATACTATACATACACTACCTGCTCTCTGGTTTAGTTCATGTGCTGTGTTGATTCTCTCTGTATCCGTTTTTCACTGACTGCTCTCAAACTGAATGCTCGCCTGTCTCTGTATTACCACCAACTTGGGCAAATCCTAACAGATCAGACAGGAAGTGATGGTTTTGAATTAGGCGACTGGAAAAAAGGATGTTGACAGCACTAGCTAGCAATACGTGCTTATGGACTGAAGGGTGACAACACTTATGTACACAGTGACTGGGATATGAAATGGTAGGGTGAGTAAACAATGAAGACATCTTAAGCTCTTGCTCTCTCCTTTGGTACAGATTTGTTCTTCAATCAAAAAAATATTTATTTTATTACCCAATAAAAATGGGATTGCAAAATGGTTAAAGAAAAACTGTGAAAACTGTGTGAGAGCTCAGTGACTTGAATTCCCACAGTTGTGTCCCTACACTTGACCTTGTTTTTCTCCTCCTGCGTACGAGTCTTACCGTGTCTCTTCCAGCGGTGTCCCCTGATAGAGAGGGAGGTGACAGCATTTCGGGAGATCCTGGAGGAGGTGGGTGTGATCTCCACCTGGATACTCCGCGCACCCTCCTTGTTGTTGCTCTTCAGCGCTGCGCCGTGCAGTGACGACTTGATGGCATTACCCACCTGAGGGGCGAGGAGAAGCACACATTCACAAAGATTACTGCTTCAGAGGTTGACGTTAACCAGTGGCTCTCGGCCAGTGAGGAACTGGACTGGCTCTCTAATAGGTTAGCAACTGGCCCAACACGTTATATTCAATGTCACCTGGGGATATGATGATATGATGATATGATGACTGGTATTTAACATTTACGGAGGAGCAGTTTAACAGTATAACTGATGATGTACAGTCAACTAACAGACAAACAAAGCAAACAAATGCCATGCACATGTGTGTCTCAGGGCCAGATTGTATCTGATTGTAACCAAACCAAATAAAAAGTACACCTGAAACCACTATGTATCTCCATCAGGTCAATACTAAGATCCAGTTACAATTTTGTTTGCAATATCCACACACCAATGTTTATCCAACTGATCAAAGTGTGGGTAATTTGAAAACTGGTAGCCATTTCACTGTTAAGATGTGACATTTACATTTTAGAATTTTAAAAACAATTGTTATTACCGATTACATTTTTCTTAAAAAGATCTTATTGGTAAGATTTTAAAGCTGATGCATGAATTACTGCAACAAGACTATTTACAGTTTACTGCAATATTAAGTTTTGTGAAAGAAAAGAGACTTTTTGGTTTTGGACCTTTTTCATTTTTAAGCCATCCACTGCTGCATGCTACAAAGTATGAACAGTCTTTATTTATATTTCAATATATATGTATATATATATTTCAGTTTGGTACTTGAATCAGGGAAAACATAGAGGTAGTACAACTACAGGGACAGGGAAATCACAAAAAAAAAAGTGTAAAGGCAATGCGCAGTACACAATGTATGTGTTAGCAGCATTTCTGATCCCACTAAGTTGTGTTTTGTTCTCACTTCATACTGAAGTTCAGATCATGGGACCAAACCAGTAACATCAATAACCCCATTTCTACCAGATTTATGCACAGGGATTAACCTTAAATCTTAACACAAACTGAGTTACACAGAGTAGTGATATAAGAAAGACAAAAAGGCTTTGTATTTCTTCCAATGTAACTCAGTTTCACAAGTCTTTCAAAATAACCTTTGTTCTCGCTGGAAACTCAACTGGCAGTTGCGCTAATGATCATGTAATAGTGGAGTACAGAAGATGACGTAAAAAACATCATAATCACAACACAATGTGTCTTCTGTCTGTGAGGCTGCAACACATTGGTCTCATGAGGTACACGTAACGAAGCTATGCTAAGCTAGCAGCCACCGGGCGTGTTCCACTGCAACAAGTAACACAAATAAACACGCTGGATAAAACGCTGACATTTTAGCCCTTTCACACTGTTTGTGTTTGTTGTCACATCTCCAAAAAGAGGTTTCTTTATTAACATATTCTTAAACCCCAACACCATTATTATTAATGTGAATCCAAAGGTCGTGTGTTTTGATTGTTGTGGAGGAGTACACCTTGACTTGTGTAGTAATACTGTGAGCTTAGGTTCAATCCTCTACTCCCTGGGCCTCAAGGATTATAGCTTAACGGAGCAGAGTGGAAAGCATGTAAATAATCTAGTGGGATTACACTCTGCTTGCAGCCTCTGACACACACAGAGACCAACACAATACAGCATAGTGTGCTGCGCTTGAATCTAAACTACAGGTGAGCATGTGTATCTTACTCACATGCTCTTTCGACACACACGCATGCACGCACGCACACACGGACGTCCGAAAACACAGAAAGGAGGGAAATGTGATAGTAGAAGAAGAAAAGCTGACGGCACCCACCAACAGAGCTTCAGGGAACAACTCTAGCTGGGCCCGATACAGAACGTCATCCAGTGCTTTGGATCCCAGTTCAACTTCCCCATTGCACCTAGACACAGGCACAAACACATGAACATAAACATCACAGATTAAAGGTTTACTGTGGAGTTTTACACCTCTAATAACACTACAGAGCAGTTTATCTCATGCCATCTCATCAGGATGGACGTGCACATGCTATATTGATTGCACTGCCTATGCTATATTGCCATAAAGCTGTCAAGCCATTTGTGAAATGCAACACGACAATGTAAACTGGTTCATACTGTAAAGTGTGCAGGCTCAATAACTGTCACAGAGCAACCTCTTCTAAACACGAATGTCAGAATATACTTAGAACAACTCAAATCAGATACAGGAAACATAGAGCAGATTTTAAGAAAAATGTTAGCACTATATACACATGGAGAAGTTCAAGCTGATCAGTGAGTCAGTGCTGTGTTGGTTGGGCTGCTTGGGCAGGAATGTGTGTACACTCACAAGGCGTAATGTATCCCTGTGATGAGCTGAACCAGGAACTCAGACGTGACTGTCAGCCGTGTGCTAATGCCCTTGTAGCGCCGCATCTGTTGCCGTGGGTAACCGCATATACACACCCTGGAGGATAACCAATAAAAGCACAATAGGGAAGCTTGTATCAGTGAAACAGGGAAGCTTCAATCAGGTAAACCACTCCTCTGAGCTCCTTGGCTGCCGCTCCATTAAGGGGAACTGACTTCCCTGTGGTGAGCTGATATCAAAGTCAATAATGAACAAATAATTGCTGGTGATATGATACATAATGATTTCCCAGTGGTTTACTCTATTATCCTGAGGATTTACTGTAGTGAATCATTTCTGAGCATGACATGTAGATAGCTAATTAGTATCAGTAAGTATCATACAAGTTGCTACAAAGAGGATTTAGCTAAAGCTGAGATAACTATGGCTGCTCGATTAGGTAGACAAAAATCTATTCACAATCATTACAAATTTAATTTTTACTGAAAAAACTATTAAATTATGTGATGATGATGTGGAATTTGTTGGGGTCTGTACCAAACAAACATGTTTTCTTTCATCTGAGTACAGCCCTAGAGATAATACCTGTGCATTTGAAGCTTTATGAGCTGCTACATACTGTACACAGCTGACACACAGGAAACTGTCCAGGGGGAAATCAAAGCTGATAACTTCTCTTTAGCTCTGTGCTTATCAGGGCAATGCTCAACTGCAGTTGGCAGATTACCAAAATCACTCAGCTCTTTGCCAAATAGCGGTATCTTGGCTCTTCCTGGCACCAAAGTCTGTAAGAGGATCAGATAAGCAAGAGCTTGCAAAATATAGTGTGTGTGTGTCTCTGTGTGTGTGTGTGTGTGTCTGTGTGTGTAAGGTGTATGGTGTAAGTAGCATCCTCAAAAACATCAACAATCAAGAAAGTGATACAAAGGTCAGTTAAAAAGTGAATGTGTGTGTGTGTGTGTGTGTCAAAGTTACCCACGGGTCTCTACAGTATATTAAGTTATGCTGATATGTGTGTGTGTGTGTTGTTTTACCTGGAGCTGAATTGGCAGAGGGACTGGAGGGAGGTGGAGGTCATGTAGCTGAGTGCAGCATTGTAGCACAGCAGCAGGAAGGTCAGCACCTCAAATCTCAAAAACAAAACAAACATAACACCCTTAAAATAGCACGTCTTATGTCCAACATTATATATAAACATTGTAAACATACAAGATCTGAAACCCACCCACACAGTTACACTTCCTTCTATACTGTAGATAGAAATACCACACAAGAGAGATTCAAAGATTACAAAACCAAGCCAAAAAGTCATCAGATAAATTGGATATTCACTTTTTTGTAACTGCACAACACCAAATATTTTTCCTTTTCAAACTTGTCGTCCCCACCAATGCTAATCACTTGAGAAAATTGGTCAGATTTCCCACCCCAAAATGCTTTACACAACTTTTTTCACATATTAAGTATTCCCCAAGGACTGTAAACAGACTCCTGATATGTAAACAATTATATCAGTAAAAGTACAGTACTAATACATATCTAGGACCAATAACCTATACAACAATAATCAAGTTTTTTTTTTTTGTTTTGTTTTGTTTTTAAAGGCGCCAAATTTGTTTTGTTAGAAACTTAGAAACAGTAGAAGAAAACGGTACTGAAAAAAGTTAAAGACGTTCAACTGAGACCATCACAACCTTCAGAGTTTGGCTGCAGTGCAGCCTCATTAAATTAATTTAGGAAAGCCCAACAGCGATGTAACAACTTCAAATGCAACAAAGCAAGGACAACTGCCATGGGCCATCAGTGACGCTAGCGTACCATGCACAGAATAACTGGCCCTGGCAGCAGCTAAACTCTCTATCACAGGTCTGAGGACTGGAGTTACTGAAACTAGACACATTTTCAAGGTATTACCAAACATATTTAATGAGGTTGTCAGACTACACTCAACTTGAAATGTTAAATAAAAGCCACAACTTTTTTCCGGTTCCAACTTATCTTATCTTCCTACTGACTGCATCAAAAACAGCATCTGAACTTCCTTAGGCCTGAGTTTCATGGACTGTTAAGTTCACACATATCACTAGTCATATGAGTTTTTCACAGTGCATTTCACTTTTTGAGACAACTGATAATCTAACTTGTATTCACCAACACAGTTCGACACTGTAACAGCAGAAGAAATTAATTTCTTGGCAATATGTTGCAATGTCCAATTTAAAAAGAGTGCAGAGAAAAAAGTGCATGGTTACTGAACTCCCTAGTGCTCCTTTGTCGGATTGTTCATCTTCCTTCATGTGTGTTTCCACTTTGGTTGTTGGCTTGTGTTTGCTGCCAGTTCTAACTAAGCAGACAGTCTGGCAGCCCGCTGCCAGGAAAGCCCATTTTAAAACGAGTACAATCTCCACCCTGCTGACATGACACCGGCCGCCCAGCAGCGTGCCTAGCAAGCCTCTTACCTATGTTGTGCTGTAAAGGTCTCTCTTTGGAGGTGTGGCCCGCTGTACACCACCCTGCTCAGCCCGTGATTGGCTAGAGCCCCTTCAGTAAGGGCAATGGAGCCGATGGCAGAAGGCTGGAGGTAGGAAGAGGACGTTTTTAAACTTAGCATTTCTGTCAAAGCAAATTAGCTTGTGTTATGACTTGTGTGCGTTTCTCACCTCGTGGTACACTGAGGGTTTGGAGAGGGAAGGGACTGTAAAAGATAATACTTTACTTTGTCCATCTTTATCAACTATTTCCTGTGAAGGAGAAAGACAGGAAGACGATGAGAAAATGTTTCTGTGGGCGAGAAAACCAGAAGCTTTTTTTCCTGTGTGCCCTCAACCTCTGAAGAGTGTGTGCTTATCTCTACAAGCACACTCATCTGTTATGTGTGGGTGCTTGTGTGTATGGACCTCAGGGTCTCCGTTTCCCTACTCAGTCTGCTGATGTGTTTGCTTATTTGTGTGTAGATATTGTGTGAACATACACACACACACACACACAAACCCCAGGGTTTTGGTGTCCCCTGTGTGCATGTTAATGTCAAATACATTAATGGTAGCCAGCCAGTGTGTTGAGTGACAGCTGACCTATTCTGCTATTCAGAGAGGAAGTTAGGGGACACTGCACTTTGCTGATAGATAGGACATTAAGAGCCAAAATGGATGAAAATAGGACTCACTTTAATAATTACTACTGCTGGCATCTCTCTGTGGGCATTTTGCAAGGTGCAACCCATCCATATTGTATATTTGCAAAGTAATTTTGTTTCAATTCCCCTAATTCTAACCCACACTTCCTGTCACTCTACATGCATAGCTGGCTTAACAAGGCATAGAGGGCATGAAGTAATCTTTCAAAACACATGACGCAGATCCTAGAAATAGCTGAGTGGTTCTGGAACTGAGTGATTATACCCACTTGCTAAGGATCAAGGACTTTTTTTCTGGTGTTTTTCTTTACTTTGGCTTATCATACTGGAAACCATTGATTGTTACTAACAAGAGCAGCTCTCCTCTACTGATAATACATCAAACACATCAGCTGTGACATAAGAATGCAGTTTTGAAAATTTAACACACACACACACACAGACCGCAAACCTAATCTTCTCCCCTACCAGGTTGTAAATGCCCAGCAGCAGGGCCTCGATGCAGCCGGAGGTGTGGGGGTCTCTGGCTGCGCTGACGGACAGCAGGCTCCACAGGAGCTCTGGCAGGAACTGTAGTGTGAAACGCTGCAGCTGCGGCTCACCGCTCCGGTAAAACTCAAACAACTGGTGACACACTGGCTCCAGCAACTGGGGACGACAGAAAAACAAAAAACAGGCACATGGTCACATCATGCAACTGCAATACATTTTGCATTTAGCAGTATGGTGCATCTATAATGTCGGGATAAAGCAAAGCAGTGTTGGACAGTCAGACTATAAATAACAGAACAATTAGAATAAAAAAGTACATAATATAATCAGGGGTGTATGAATTAACAATTACAGATAAATGGTAAAATACTTTAAGTGTTGTGTGGTTAGATAATGTTCACATGAATAAAAATATAAGTGTGTGTCCATACATCGCTGTAGTTCTCTCGTATGACTTTGTAGAGTGCGGGGACCAGGGCACCTTTGTCTCTTAGTGAGCCGGCATAGTTGGACACAGCACTGTCAGGAAGGGTCTGAAACACACACACACACAGACATTTAAATAAACAGCTCAAGTTAACTGATACACTAACCGACTTACCAATATTCTAAAATTAAACACACATAATGATTTTGGAAGATAGTACTGACCGGTCAAACATTTGTTGATGTGGTCTAAATTTGATCAGGTTAAACTTGATTCATTTCAAGTGCAGGTGACACAGATATTGTTTTAAGGCAATAAATCTACCCATTAGAATTTATAAAATCAAGAAAATATCAGAAAACAAAAACTTTGCCCCTGGGTGTGCGTGTGTGTTTGACAGAGATTGTGGAAGTGTGTGTTAAAGTTGTTAGTTGTGTGTGTGTTTTATACTAGCAAAATATAACATAAATAGCAGCAATAATGAAACTTAATATTACAGTTATATTGATATATTTTTTCCATTTAACTGTCAGGGCCCAGCTCTGACAGAATTGCTGCTGTAGACCTTCTTTTGTTGGTGACAGCAACACCAAGTCATCTGCATACAGGAAGCCCTTAAATTCTGCATCATTTGGTCATTAGGTTAACCCTAACCCTAACCCATTTAAAGACTCAACAGCAATTATTTAGTTTGTATTTATCTCCATTTTCATAAACTGGTGCTGTTAAACTTTTATTCCATATGTCAGGAAAAGTGCCAACAGCTAAGAATTATATTAAAATAAACTGAGTATAGCCAATTTTAGTTTAGTTTTTATCTTTCAGAGATTGGCCACTTTCCATCAGTTATTGAAGCATCTAGAGGGTTTTGGTTGTCTTTAATTACTAATTCTAAAGATTTCCATTTGGTGTGTATTTCGTTTTGGTCAGTGTTCTTTGCAATATTACTGTGCAATTCAGTAAAATAATCAGTCCAAATGCTGCCACTTTGTATTGCCACTTGATTTTAATGTGTTTAGTTGAGAGTGCTCCACTTCTGCCAGAATTGGTTTGACTCTAAGGATCCTTCTGTTTCAGAGAACTGGTTCCTGGTGTGTTGTTCTCTCTTTGTTCTTAGTGTGTGTTTATATTGTTTTAAGGCGTCATGGTAATGAAGGCGTGTATTTTGGTTATTTAGGTTATCTCTGTTTTTCATTTGATAACTTCCTTAAAGTTTTTTCCAGATATTTTTGCAATCATTGTCAATCCATTTGTTATTGTTTATGTGTTTCGGTGTTTGATTAGAGGTTTTCAGATTTGATAGCAATGCTAATTTATCGAAAAAGTTGCATTAATTCTTTCCACAGCAGAGTTTATACCAACGTTATCATGAGGGAAACACTTTAGAAAGTAATAATTCAATTGAATATTGGATTTGGGGATTCAAATGCCTTTTGGTAGCTCCCCACACTGTTTGATTTCCATCTATAGGAACATGTGGTGGTGTACAGTTTACTGTCTTTAGAGGCCTCATAGTTAGTGTGTATCATCTTCAAATAAACAATGATCTAACTGATCTGATAGCGGTGTGAGTGGGTTGACTATTAAAGCTCTGGGAGACACCGGGTCCAGATCTGTTATGGCACAGTCTACCGTAAACTCTAAAACGTGTGGCGGCCCAGAGAGTCTCCTCGTAAACCTACCATTGACTGTGTGCGGACCCAGTGCGCGGCGGAGCTGTAGAAGCTGAGTACCGCTCACTAAAGCTTGTACAGACATGCAAGTGATCCATCTGGTTATGACAAGATGAAAAAAAGTCTGCTCCTTTATTATTACACCTCACCAAGCCTCAGCTTCGGCAGCAGTCACGTACTGGTGAGTGTTCATGTTTGAGTAGGAGCACACAGTTCTCTGGGAACGAAGCACTTCAGCGAGAGTGTTTGTTTGTGTGTGTGTGTGAAAGTAATTTCGCCCAATAATAAGCAGCAGAGAATGTACTGCATACTGATATTGGATGTTTGCTTTTTAATATTGCTCTTTGCACACACACATACACACGCAGTAAAGCAGTACCTTAAATTCTGACAGCCATTCCTCCACCACTCCTTGGTCCATAGCCAACATGTTCCCTCATCTGCAGTGGAGTCACCTCTACCTGAGAGAGAAAGAAAGATTGTATAAACACATAATCTACTGACACAGAGCAAATATATAGTACATTTGTGCATCAGCAGCTTTCGTCTTAGCCAGCCTTCTATTATTTGCTATACTGATAAAAATATTCTATTACAAACAGCAAACAATGCCACGGCAGGGCTGAATAGTGACTTTACACCCTCCAGGCAATAACTCGATACGCCACAGAAGCATAAGTCTCTCCATCCTTCTCGCGCTCCGGTTTCCCTCACATTCCTCTCCAGACACACTCCTCTGCAGCAAACCTAACCTATTCTCAACTCAGGCTCACAAATCGAAAAAAAAAAAAAAAAAA